ATCAGCGTAACATCTAATGTTTTAATTTTTTTAAATTTTCAATATATAACACTATCGATCGGTTTCGGTCGGAAATAACATATCTGACCGAACCGATAGACTTTGAGTTAGTTTTTAAAAAGAAAAATTGATTTCGACTGATCTATTTATCAAATCGACCGACCGATCTCGGTTTGGTCTGTTTTGATCGGTCGACTCGATTTTTTGGCTCTCCATGCTCACCCCTAACATCCAAGATGAATAAGTGCACAACTTGCTGCAATACCTCCACTGTAAGGGTGGCAGACGATAGGGGTGCTACTGTTGTCTACGGATTATGCTACCAATTCTTCTATGTGCAAGTATACACAATCGTCGCAGCAAGTAATAAAAAGTTCGAATCCATAGAGACTAAATGCCCAAACACCCAATATTCACTTAAGAAATCAATGCAATAAACTAAATAATTTTACTTCTGAATAATGACTAAAATGCATCGAAATAAAAGCTGTTTAAAAATATATATTATAACAATCACACATAAAGTTTTCACTTTGGGTTAACAAACATCCACAATCACTAAGTAAGTTCTTATGAAAATAAGGACGCAAGGGGGAGACAATGTCGACTCTTTCTGGACCACCTTAACTATGTTGCATCATTATAGAGTAAATGCAATGGTCAAACAGACAAGATGTTCTTACAAACACCCCAGATTTTCTACCATTAAAGTTCATAGACAAACAATAACARCATATATGCACAGTTTCATGATCAAGCTAGGTGATGATTATCCCTAAGTCACCACACTCTAAACTCAAGTAGACTCTAGCTCGAGATGAAGTTTTTTCGCTCTCTAAWACATTTTTCCAAAGGTTATCAAAGAGGTATTCCAACATGGTGATCAAGCAATCGAAAATAGATTGATACATCAACTTCAACTAAAAACATACTATCATTAATAGGTTACAGCCCAGAAAATGAGTTCACAACATCTCCCCCTTACACAAGGTGTTTAGCTAGACAAAGCCATAAGGAGGTTAAAAAATGTAGGAATAAAAACAATACAAAGATGCTAAAAATAAAGAGAGGGAGCTGAGGTTCAGCTCCCAATAAGAGTTCTCGACCTCTTCTCGGCTGCTGATAATTGTCTTCTTCTCYTATTGACTTTCTTTAACGTATGAAGAGGTTTTTTGGAGTGAGGATTGATTCATTAAAAAATGAACAATGGAATTGTCTTGGTGTGTGTGGAGGCTTCTCTTCTCATTGACATTTATACCTCCTCCCGATTTTTAGGGCAACAAAACAAGCGATGTGGGACCCAGCTTTCACTCCCGGGTGAAACCTCCAATTACTGGGGTAAATGTCGTTGAGAAGTCTTTTCACTGCTAGCTTGCTGCTTKTTGTCTCTTTCTGGAGCTGATGCTGTAACATCATTAAAGCTGCAGCAAAATGCTCAAAATCAGATCACCTATACGAGTGATAAAATTACATATGAGAACATTGATTTATCTTCTAAATTAGGCACACTMATCGAATATTGGGGGCTAGATGAGGCTATCTTTAGCTATTTTATGCAACTTTTAGACACAATTAACTCTCTTTAGGAGAGTTATCAGCTACCATGTGCAAGGAATGTCCCTTAACTGCCYGTCAAAGCTATTACGTGAGTGGATCCAGATCCCACCAAGCCGCACCACAGGCATGCTCCTTGGTTGGCTCTCACACCTATATAAGGGTGGAACGCCACAATGAGCAAGGTAGGTGAAAAATCTGTCTACTAAGGTACTTATTGTTTCTCCTCTCTTGCAATTACTAACTTGATTATTGGAGAATATTAAGCCAGACACCGCACTAGTCTCGAGACTCATTGTTGCATGCTCATTTGTTTGACGATCACTCATCTAGAGGACACGTGGACCTTTCCGATTTTTGCATCAATAATTGGTGTCGTTCGTGGGAACGACGTTTTCAAGCCAGAACTGAAGGTTCGCTTCCTTGACTAATAAAATACGTTTCACTAACTAAGAAGACATGGTCGTCGGACAAAGAATCATCATGTYAAGGAATGTCCAGCGGCAGCAAATCCCATAGGGAAAAGATCATTGGAAAACAATAGCAACCTCATCTGCTCCTCTCAAGCCCAGGGTCTTCGGCTATCAATCACGTTCCTCGCCCCATGGGCCACCTGTGTAAAAGAAGTATGGGGGAGCCCTAGAGGAAGAACTCAGGCATGCGGGCCAAAGTGAGTGGCCACACCACTGGACCAGTCCTCCCTCGGGGATAAAGAATCATCATGGTCATCGGACAAAGAATCATCATGGTCATCGGACAAAGAATCTTCATGTCAAGCGAATCACCTAGGAAAATGTCGATGGGAACCCGTAGGATAAATCCTGGGGCTATCTCAGCGATAAAATCCCTGCCAACTAGAACGAGGTTTCCACCACTTCTAGGGATCTACAGGACGGGCTTAATGCCAAACAGGCCCGRCACACCTTTCAGTTTTAATGCCGAGTCCCAAAAAAGCATGGGATCATCCGGTCGCTCGAGCGGATTCTACTCCAAAGTGAACCTAAAGGACCTCAACAAAGTCAAGAAAGAGCTTCTCGACTAGATCAGAGACGAGTTCGGGGCAGACGCAAAGGAGTCGGGAGTGCACTACGAGGCACTCAAGCGAGAGCAGGGCCCTTCATTGACGATATCACGACCATCAAACTCCCAAGGAAATTCAAGGCCCTCRGGATAGATTAGTACGATGAAATAAAATACCCAATGAACCATGCTACGACATATCACAACGCCATGAAGAGCACCAGTTACAGCGATGTGGAGTAATGATGCAGGTTTTTGGGAACCCTAACGAGGCCGGTATGAGAATGGTTCCAAAATTTGGCCGTATGCTCTATCCCATCTTTCTAGGATCTTGCTGTAAAGTTTGTCGACAAGTTCTACTACTCTTGCACAAATAAGCAAACACAGACGTACCTCCTCACCCTCAAATAGAGACCAGGAGATAACCTACGACTCTACGCAATGCGGTTCACCGGGGAATGCCTATGGGTGAGAAACTGCATCGATGATGTCACTCACTAGACATTAATGACTCGAATAAAAGACAAAGTGCTTGCTCCAATCACTAGGAGAGGTCCCAACGGATACCTCGGCAGAACTCATGTCTCGGATTCAGAGGCATATTGTAGAGGAAGAACTGGTGGTTACATAGGTCCTGAACACAAACCTGGCAGGATCCTCCAAAAAGGACAAAGGTAAGGTCATAGACAAGAAACCGGTCTACACAAAGAGACCCAATTCATCGTAGGGGGAGAAGAGAAGATCGTCCGATGAAGTTCGACAAGTACACTCCAACCTGCATCCTAGGTCCATCAAATCTTGGCCCAAATCGATGGAACCCCAGTTGATAATTTGCTGCAAAGGCTTGAAAAGATGAAGCATGGTTTGCACAAGCGTGCAACAAGTATTGCAAGTTCCATCGTGACCGTAGATACGAGACGGGGGAGTGTTACGATCTTAGGAACTACGTTGAGTCCTAATTCGTGATTTATATAATTAGTGATTTATAATTAGTGATTCAATTGTTATTTTTATATAATTAGTGATTTATAATTCTTTTATTATCTTTATATAATTCGTTAGTTGTAATCTTTTTTTTGTTGTTTTTATTATTCGTGATTATTATCTCAGGCAGGTTCGTGGTCCCCTAAATTTGAAAATTTTATTTGTATAATTATGTTAATTTTTGAACAATGAAAAAAATCATAGAATATATAAATATGTCAACTGTTAAACATTCTTTCAATTTATGCATATACACATTTGTCATATCTTTTATGTAGTTGTCCATTTCAAAGCTTTTTTTTCCTTCAATTTGTATGTTGTCATTTTTTTTCTATAAATTATTGTATTGATACAATTTTTTTCTTCTCTATAATTTATCAAATTTTTTAAATTTAAWTGTTCCTATTTTATATATATTTTTAATTTAATTTTCAAATATGAAAATTCGTAAATAACAATTATGATATATTAAATCCACTAGTTAGGATAACTAGATTATAATTTGCCTAAACACTAGCTATCCAAATTTTCTCGGTTAAAAAAACAATAATAATAATAATAAATAAATAAGGGAGCTATCCAAATTTTCTCTAAAAATGGGCTTTAAAAAAAAAAAGAAAAATCTCTAAAAATGGAACACTGGGTTCGCAATTCTTTTTTCTTAAAAAACTGCCGTGGAATTGAACCATCCACCTATTTGCACTTTCAATTTTGAATCAAATATTTTAAAAAAAAATCAGTTAAATCTTTCCTATAATTATTTAGTCTGATCCTAACATTTCAAAAGTAAAATTTTGATAAATTAGATATACATTTTGATTTCTTTTAGGACAAATACTTCTGGAGAAAATGTTACCTTTTATATTAAGTCAATTTTTTAGCTATCGAAATGTTTGCCGTATCAACCAAAAAAAAAAATTAATTAATATAAAGTGAAAGGAAACAGTTTTTACCTTTTTTCTTTAAGTTAGTGACAGAGAACAAAAATATCAAATTTAAATATAATATAGCTCAACAATTAAAACACTCAKGTCTTTTTTGGTTTTTTTTAAAGAGATCAAATCTTCATCTTATATTTATGGTAGAAAATCTTTTTAAAATGTATTAGATAATAGCGAACTTTTATTTTCTTTTAATTTTAAMATTTCTATCAAAATTAACAAGCTGACCCAAATATTCACGGATATTAAAAATTAAAATCTATCAAAATTATCTTGTGAAATGAAATTTTCAACTTCAACATCTTTTTAAATGAACTTTGTGAGGGGAAAAAAAGAGAGAATAAGTTTCAATCTAAGCAGGACCTCAGCTTTACCATATTAAAGTTTTCCCATGGTTAAAACAAAACAGAAAATATAGTGTAATGCTATAATACAGAAGCCTGTCCAAATAGCTCCTTGTTCATCCACCATTAGAACAACAAAGCAAGCTAAAACATTATCTAACAAACCCATTGAAGCATATGGGATTTTTTGAATTTCAAGCAACAAAACAAATTGACTAATGATAAATCTAACTCAACTCTTTCCTTACAAGCCTCCCTTAGAATGAAGCAAAATCATAACACACTTTAAAACAATACCCAAATGGATATCGAGCATACAATCCCAATCGACTACCGAAAACAATACCCGATACCCCATTTTGTGAAGACAGATTGATTAATAATCGGTATCTCAGACAACTTTTCGACAAAGTTATACACTCTTCTCCTCAAAATAACTAGTATGCAAAATCATTTATCAAGAGAAACTCAGAAAAAGGTACTATAATCATAAAAGATCAAAACCTTTCTGCCAATCTGGCTGTAACTGCTCTAAGTTTTGAATAAACTTTTCCTGCAGGGGAACCTAAAATGAGGCTGCAAAGAGAATCCCTTGCAATCTTGATGTTTGCAAACGATCCTAGTATGTGAATCTTGGTGTCTGCAATAACTATCCTCGTCTTTGTAGCATTTTCGATGGCAAACTTTGTCTTACCAGCTTTACCAGACAGTCTACCTATGGCACGGGATAAGTGCTCGCCTCGGAGAGTTTTAACATCTTTGATCTCAAAAGATTCGACATAGAGTTCGTCCACCCGTAAGAGCGCAATGGCATCGATCACATCGAAACCGAGCATGAAGGCATGAACAAAATCTGCACACTTTTGCAAGTTACTGATGTCAGGTGTGTCTGCTCTGGTTTTCAGTTCGACTTTACGGGCCTTGAGATTCATTCGGATATCGATTTTCATCTGCTCATATACTGGGGTGTAAATCTCCATCCATGATTTCTTGAGAGGAGAATAGCGGTGAGGAGGAACTGAGACCTTTCGGAACTGAACTCGACCATCATTCATCTCATGAGGCTTTAGAGGATCAAACTGTGGTTTCGGTGGCAAGGCGCCAACTACAGCTTTCGATTCAGTTGAAACTGCTTCCACTTCCATGGAAGTGGAGACTTCAATCGACTGCATTTTTTAATTGTCCTGAGCTCCCACCCTATAAACACCCAAACAACTACCATTTAACAACAAAATATAACATAGCATAGATATAAAATCCATAAATTTGATATTTAGCACAAGATACACCCAATATACAATAATCCTCAGTGAAAAGATGATTTTAATCTAAAATACCATAATCAAACATAACAAATAAACGACGAGCAAATTTGAGAAGAAAATAGTACTGGCGAAATCAAATTTCACTAATGGCTAAACCGAGAACCGAATGCGATGATCTCGAATTGTAAGAATGAACAACAAAACCAATTTCTATGATTCGCCAAAGCCTAATTTCAATCGGTTCCAATCGGTTTGAGCTTTCATAAGACGTCCATCCATTGTAAGTAATGAAACTTGAAGGAGAAAGATGGGAAATAGAGAGAATACCTGAGACCAGATAGGGCAGAAGAACGGTGGAGACGGAAGGGTGGCGGCGGCGGAGGGACGGCGGGGCGGCGCTTCTGAACTGCTAAGAGGGAGAGGAGGAGGCGCGAAGATGGGAGGGAAGGGATATAGCAGCTAGGGTTTAACATTTTCATTCTTTCTTTCTTATTTTTATTATTACCATTTTTTAATTTTGAAAAATCAAGTGGAGTTGGGCCGTTGGGCCAAGTTGGTCGGATGAATGGGCCCAATAATGGGCTGAACTGTTCCCTTTGTCATCAGTAAAATGGTCAAATCATTTTGATAATGAAAAAAAAATCTATTTATATTATTCTAACTGTTTTGTCAAATCATCTTTGATAATGAAAAAAAATCTATTTATATTATTCTAACTGTTTTACAAATTTGATATTTGACACTTTTGCTAATCTATTTAGTTATTAGTTTTAAAATCAAAATATCATAACTTCCATTATCTCTCCTATATTCTATGTGTTTTTTTCCAACCACTATTATTATAAACTTAGATATATACGGAGATAGAAATTCACCAATTATAAGGAGACATCACAGTGAGGGAGACGATCAGAAAGGAATCTATCGGAGTCGAGTCGACAAAGGGGAATCGATGCAGGTGGGGCGGCGGGAGGTGGAGGGGTAAAGGAGATGGAGACCTATATGTTGAATTTCCATAGTTTGTGTATCTTTTTGGTTTGAGGTTAGAGTGTTTTATATTTTTGTATTAATTGTTCAAAAAAAAATATATCTTATTTCTTCACACTATTTGTATTTCTTTAGTTGATTTTGTTCACGTATTTATTGTTCTCTCCTTATTTTTATATTTTTGTATTAATTATTCAAAAAATACACCTCTCTTCACCATATTTATTGTTGTATTTGTTATTCTAATTCACCGTATTTGTTGTATTTTTGTATTCACCGTATTTGTTATACTTTTGTTTCTCTGTTTACCATATTTGTTGTCCATATTTGTTATACTTTTGTTTCTCTATTCACCATATTTGTTGTCCATATTTGTTGTATTTTTGTTTCTTTATTCACCATATTTTTTTTGTTTTTTTGTTTTTTTGTTCACCGTATTTTTTATTTGTTGTTTTAGTTTTTTTGTTCACCGTATTTTTTATTTGTTGTTTTTATTTCTTTGTTCACCGTATTTTTAATTTGTTGTTTTTGTTTCTTTGTTCACCGTATTTGTTCATCCATTTGTTCTAGCTCGAGTGTTAGTATTTCTATTTCTAATTACATYTTGTTTATTAATACTTATTATATATTATTTTTTTCCTTAGATTTGTTAGTATAATTCTCTCAAATATAGAGGTAAGATTCTAAAAATATTTGAATTATCCTATAAAAATAGTTAGRTAGGATTCTCTATGACGATTCATTTTTAAATTATTTTACAAGAGGGTAATTTTGTCCTAAAACATTAATACAGATCTTACTACTTTTATGTTGACCATTATTGAAAAGTGTAACTTGTTTGGCCATATTTTGAAATTGCCWATTTTAAATAACTATATCTATTGTTATCTCTTTTTTAGATGGAAGACTAAATTTGACCATCTATTTTAAAAAATCGCTTTTAAATTTTGCATAAATGACTGTAGTTTTAAAAAATGAGGTGACTTTCCAAAATGTTGCCATTGACCATGTTGTTTGGTCATTCCAATTTTGAACCATCTAACAAACTTGCAAATTTCTTTTCCTATCTTCAAGGGATGGATGTTAAGTTAGTTTTCTAATATTTTATAATACTAGYCTATTACCACATGCTATGCAGGTAAGATTTTTCAATTCAACGTTATATTATATTAACATAGTATGACAGTGAAATAATGGTGGAAGAAAACTTCACTTTATAGTTCTAGAAAGTATAAAAGTTGTAACACTTTTGAAATTTCTCGATTAAAACTCTATAATTAAAGATAAAATATTTAAAAGTGAAATAGAACAAATTTTTCATTCAACCTTTTTAAATTTCATACATTAATAAACTTTTTTTTAGCACCATACACTAATAAACTTAATCATACATTTAAATTTTCATTTATTCAAAGTTAAATTTTCAAAAATTATATTTTACTTAATAAAATTTTTATTGAATTTGTAGTCTAATTGCATTGTGAACTTATATTTCACATAAAGTTAATGGTACTTATTTAAATCCATGTTATACTCGTTTGTGTATTTATTATATACATGTAAGAGATTGGTACTCTACTCATATTGCCCTTATTTCGAAAGTGAAGAGTCCTATAGTGGTTACCATGGCTAATCGGTACAAAAGAGTCCTAGGTGCCATGATCTCCCCTGCTCAGTCAGCTTTTATTTTGAATAGGGCAATTACTGATAATATAATTATTGGCCATGAATGTCTTCATCATATTAGGAATCAAAAAACTGGATCATCGGGGTTGGCTGCTTTAAAATTGGATCTTAGCAAGGCTTTTGACAGGGTTGAATGGACTTATATTGAGAGATTGATGCTCAAGTTTGGTTTTGCCAGAGATTGGGTGAATCTGATTATGCGTTGCATTTCTTCCACCAGAATTTCAATCATTCTAAATGGCTCTCCGACTGGTTCTATGATTACCACTCGAGGTATTTGTCAGGTGACCCGCTTTCCCCATATTTGTTTGTTCTTTGTGCAGAAGTCTTTCTATGCTTCTTCAAGATGCTAATGCTACTGGGCGTCTTCATAGCCTATCATTTGCTCCYTCTGGTCCCCTTGTCTCTCATTTGCTATTTGCAAATGATAGCTTAATATTCTTTAGAGCTAATGAACTACAGTTTTTGGCCTTGAAGGACCTTCTGTCGGTGTATGGGACGACATCCGACCAATGTATTAACTTTGCAAAATCAGCCTTAATTTTCTCTCCAAATGTCCACATTCTCAGGCAACAATTCCTTCCATCTCTCCTAGATGTTGTTCTTGTCAATGATTTTGGAAATTATTTTGGCCTACCTTCTTCGTTCTCTCGAAGGAAAGGACAAGATTGGAGGTTCCTCAAGGACCGGATTTGGAGGGTTATGCAAGGTTAGAAGCAGAATCTTTTTTTTTTGTTGGGGAAAAGATGTGTTGATTATAAGTGTTGGGCAAGCCATTCATTCATATGCAATGAGTGTTTTTCGTTTTCCTAAGGGCTTCTGTGATGATATCTCTTAATTGTTCAATCAGTTTTGGTGGGGTTCTACTTCTGATAGGGGGAAAATTCACTGGATGAGCTGGAAGCGTATGTGTTAACCAAAAGAGCTCAGAGGGCTTAATTTCAGGGATCTTGAGGGGTTTAATAAAGCCCTCATTGCAAAGCAAGTTTGAAGGTTTCTCCACAATCCAAACCTGCTAGCTACCCAAGTACTTAAGGTTATTTATTTCCCGAATTATTTCATTCTTGAGGCAGTTTCTCAAGCTTCTTCTTCCTATTTTTGGAAGGGATTAATTTGGGGTCGAGATCTCCTCCTCCAAGGTATTCGGAAAAGAATTGGTGATGGTTCTTCGACTAAGGTTTTTTAGGATCCATGGATACCAAGAGAATAGACCTTTAAACCAATTACACCTCCAACTCTTGATACTGAAGGTCTTTGGRTCTTAGAACTTCTTACCACAGATCGACGTTGGAATGTCCAAAAGCTCCATTCCTTTTTTTATCCAGAGGATATTGATAAAATTCTATCTATTCCCCTAAGTGCCCACTCTTCGGCTGATTTTCGGCTATGACATTTTGATAAAAAGGGTTTTTTCAGTGTCAATAGTGCCTACAAGCTATACATGAATGACAATATTCTATATGACCCACGGTTCAACGAGCAATCAAAACAAGGGTAATCACTCGAAGGACATTTGGGGCCTAAATGTTCCTTCAAAAGTCAAAATATTTCTTTGGAGAGTCTTTCATGATATTCTCCCTACGAAATACAATCTGGAGAAGAAAAATATTGTAACCTCACCTATGTGTCCTTCCTGTCATTCTAAGATTGAGACGTCAACACATGACCTTCTTCTATATTCTCATTCCAAGAAAATTTGGCGTCGGGTTCTCCCTCTCAAGATCCCAAACGACCACCTTCTGTCCTTCTCGGATTTTTGGTTTCATAATCTGGGTCATTTGACCCTTCGAAGATCCTTAACATCGTCAGGGGGTCCTCATCGGTGAGCCCTCCTCTTGGTGGGACAAGGAACTCTCCTTTGGCCACCTCCCCCTCGATCGCGCCTCCGTTGGGAGGAGGAAAGGTCCCCTAAGTTTGATCGCCCAGGACGACTTCAATTAATTTCCTCATCTATGAGGCTATGTAGGCATTTGCAACTCACATCTCGGTGCGGAATCCCGAGCTCTTGCGATGGGGGTGTTTCGCCTTTCGCTTGCCGAGGTGGTCGATCGGGCGAAGTGGGTTGACAGCTTCCCATGCTCCTCCAGCCTTTTGTGAGGGCCTGGGAGTCGGGACGGGGTTGTCGACTGGTTTATCCTGTCGACGCTCTTCGTCGATGGTATTCTCATAGGACGACTCCTTATCGGAAGACATTTCAGTGATGTCTTAGTGCAGAGAACTAGTTTTAATTCTGGCTTGAAAACGTCGTTCCCAAGCGTCAACTATTGATGGCGATTTCTGGTTGAGGCCACGTGTCCCTCAAACGAACAGCTCCGCTGAAGAACAGAGAGACCTGCAACCACTCYGACGGTCAAGTCAGTAATCAGAGTAAGGAATAGGAAAAAGACACCTTAAGTTTGAGTGATAGATTCTTCACTTACTTGATGAAGGTGAGGATCCTTCCTTATATAGGCTCGGATGACCAACCAGGAAGGATGGCCGTTGAAGGTGGCAGGGAAGTGCCGCGTCTTACGGGGCCTGCCATGGTTGTACGCCCCCGACAACTAGCGGGTGGCACCACCGCCTGTGGCCCTGAGTCTTGTCGCTTGCCATAGGGAGGCGTGCCACCCGTACCAGCACCGCGCGTCTCCTGCTACATGCTACTCTTTCCTAGGCGAACATGTGGCTTGCTTGGCGATGCTACATGTGGTGTATAACCGTATGTGGTCCTACGTCCCTTAAAGATGGATACGCGTCCTGCTCGGTTTTTACCCCAACAACAATGATTTTCTTTAGAAATATGATATATCTGCTATTTCATTTATATTAAAAACATGTACATTTTACATTTTACTTTCTTTTTTTTAACAAAAGAAGTTGCCATTAAAGTGTAGAATTTGTATGACACCATGACATCATTGGATTTTGAAGTTATTTGATTTTGAGCCAATTTAATCAAGCTAGTTTGGTGATCCACGTTCCTAAAGAGTTTTTCATACCAGTTGTTAAGGACAAAGTTACTCCAAGCACCCTCAAGTATCTCGACAATGGTATGATATTTATCGGAATAACTCTCACGGTTTTGCTTTTGGTTTTATCCAAAAGACCTCATACTAATGGAAATAATTATCGTATCTTATATACCATGGATCACCCTCTTCTCTAACCAATGTGAGATTTTGTTTACATACCTTGCAACCCCAACAATCATCCCCTCGAACAAAGTGCCACTTGTATCTTCCCTCGAATAGTTGCAACTCATCTGCTCCCGGTGGGGAACGAGAGCCCAGTTCTATCCAGCACGTCTAGATAGAGCACTCGCTACACAGACCACATTGTGGGAACACCTGGAGCCGTTCTATTGCAATCTCAATCTCCTCCCCTCTAACAAAGCTACCTCATTCCTCCTATCAGTCAACTCGACTATAATAGTCTTCCTATCAATATACCTCGACTTGATAGGGCATGTCTTGCTTGTCACTCGAGCGCGCGCGCGCACACACACCAATCACTCTTGTTCGACCCCGAGAATTCCTCTCTCACACAACTAGATATTTTACCATGGCTCTTGAGGATTCCTCAAACACAGACAGAATGAGGGATAAATATACGTATAGAAGAAGCCTCGAGTCCAAGAAAATTAGAGGCGCACAGTTGCTCCAAATTTCTTAGTCRGGTTGTGACAACAACCTTGAGAATATTCTGATTGTCAATCCCAACCTTCAAGAAATTGGGTTATAAAGGCTTAGGTAAAGCTGTTTCAAAGGARAGATGGATTTCATCTTCAATTATCGGTATTAGAGCCAGACCTATCCGTCTAAGGTATAAAAGAATGATGGACATCTGATGGTGTCTCRGACTCCATAGATATCCATCCATTCATCATACACGTCTGCGGGATCTGTTGGGTCTTTCAAGCCATCATATTATTTTATGGTGAGTAGCTTGAACTTTGGAGGTATCTTCTCGTTCATGATGTCATTGGTAAACAGAGAATCGACTTGCTCCACCATTTCTTCAAGGTCGTGATCTGAGTCACCTCAGGTACATCGTATATTTTCGAGCTCATTAAAACTTCAACAACTATTCGACTTAAGGTCTRCTCTATGCCTCCTCCTCGCCATCGACTGTGAGCTTTTTGCACTTGGCACTCTAGACGTCGCGCAAGTACAGGTGACTCATTTCCTCCCTCTTGCCGCATTGAGCAACAAGAGGGGTAACATCTGATTGTCTATTTTGGGTGCGGTATCAGGCATTGTCATGTGCCCGCATTGTAGATCGTTTGTCAATCATTATCTTGTCCACTTAGTCGATTGAACATGCCCTTGTAAGTTCTAACCTTGTCATTACCGCCTAGATGAAGCCTTTTATAAGAATTGGGTGGATCGGTTTGAGACTCATCGACACCTTCAATCACTTGAGCTTTGCCTTTGGCATGATCGCGGATAAGTGGTAGGGGATCTTGCTTGATCTAGGATTGACTTTGGCCTCCCTGTGGGCTTATTAGCTACTTAGATGCTTTCAGCAGTTATCTGCTCCGCACTTGGCTACCCAGCGTTTACCATGGGTACGATAACTTGTACRCAAGAGGTATGTCCTTCCTGATCCTCTCTTACTAGGGAAAGGTCTGCTTGCTCCTAAAAGCAGGAACGAGACAACCCCGGGGAACCTCCGACTGCATGCAGTCTCTCCCTTGGTCAGTTGGATCTGGTGATATGGCCTTTATTTAAAAAAAATAATAAAAAGCTAAGATCTAGTTCATCCCCTTCACCTTATTTTCCAACACTGAAAACTTGTCTTTTTGTTTTCTCCATTTGGGGAMAAGTCGATTGAACTCCATCGGAGGGAAAGCCTCAGAGCATGTTACATTTTGGAAATGGGTTGTCGCCCTCCTTGGAGGTTGCTTGCAATTTGAGCCTTTAGTTTTTGGGATTCTCTTATGGCTTTTTTCGTTCTTGCTCATGTTGAATGTTAGACGATGTGCAAATAGATCGGGTTAAGMACTGGTTATTTATCATGTTGAGCGTACCTTGCACCCTATGTCTCTCGTCCTATTTATAAAGGGAGTCTCATTGGGTCGATTTACATGGACCGAATCGATTGGGTCCAGTCAGGTCAGCCTTTGTCTGATTGAATGGTCTAACTTAGATGATTTGACCCAGGTTATTAGACCCATATGGCCTCCCTAACTTCAATTCATTTGAGCTTCGTAGGACCCATAACATTGTCCACCGTCGTYGTACGTTGCCCACGATTGCCATCTGCCGCTTCCTCTTTAGGATTTTTTTTACTTTACTCCCCTCCTGCTCCACAATTGTACGTCGTTGCAGTTACCTCATTCTCCAGCGTCGTCTCTTCTTCTTTTCCTTAGTGGGTCCTAATAGTGTAAAATTTCGTTCATTACTCTTCCTTTGTGCTCAGTTTTTTTGTTACTTATTTTTTCCAAACACGCTTGGATGGGAGTCTTGGTAAAATACTCAAATTAAGTCATATGTTGAGACTTGCCATGTGCTCGTGTACTTGAGTGTTCTCTATTGTACTATCAAGTACTACTGCAAAGTAGGCTAAATAATTAATCTGTTTGGATATAAAATATTTATGTACATATAGATGATACAATAGCAACATAGCTTTTTATTTTAAAAGAAATGTCTTCTTAGCAAGGTTACCGTTTCTTGTTTTTGTTTTTTTTTTAATAAAGAAAATAGAACTGCATGACCTTCAACACCC